TCACCTGAAAAAGCCACTGTCGAAGAAAAAACTCGACTCAGTTTTGAGAAGGGAAACGATGAAGCTCTTGATGAAGTTACTACCACTGATGTGACTGTTACCAATGATACGACGTTTCCTGATGATGCAGAAGCCAACGAGATGGAGACCAGTACGGAAGCAGATATGTTCAGTAAAATTAAGAGACTTTGTTGAATTTTAGTTTTGTGTTTATAAATTCTGTACATTCAGTTAAGTTATTGTTAATTATCTATTGGTTTAGTGTAAGTGGCTATTGTTCGGGATGAACTATACTAAGGAAGGGGCAGTGTTACGACAGCGGGGGTCACGTGATGCTAGTAACACGTCATATTCTCGAAGGTTCGTGAATGCTCGAGCGGTTACTAGATGTACGTTATTTTTTTATATAAGACGGCAACAAGGTGTGTTATTGAACTGCGGACAGTGAGAGACGTATTGTTGAGTCGAGCACTTGAGACGTTCGTTGTGGATTATAGCATTTGTTATAGCACGACTGTGGAAATTAAGTGTATTGCAAAGGAGTTGTATCGGTAAAGTTTCTTCGGAAAGAATTTTTACGGAAAATTATCTAACGATCAGAGACGTAACAATATTATGTGGTGTTAATTTAGATCCACATTACTGGTAGATTTGATAAAAACGTATTGTCTGACACGTCCTGATGTAAACCTAATGTTATAACGTTGATAATTTTCTATGTTAGGCCTATATCAGCATGAAGTGATTGTAATAAAAGTACAAAACTACAAGAGAAAGAGAAATAATATCATTGAGAGATTTGGCCCCCTCTCCATCCTGATAATGTTGAGAGAACAGAAAGTCACACAGAAGCAGAAATTTCCCATGTAACTCAAATGATACAGAGTCAAAATGCTGTTCAGGCTAGTGTCAAATTTAACTAGAAATCTGAAGTCGCACCATTTATATTTTGTGAAGTTGTCTCACTCTGTTGCATGGACTGGAAACTGTTAAAATAAAATAATATTTATAATATATATATATATTGTTGCGTCAGCAAGGTCACGTGACTAGTGTCACGCCACGTTTCTAGAACTATCCTGTTCTTTAGGGAGTGCTCTAGCATTTGCTAGATTGGGGGTGGCCTGGTATCTATAAGATGGTCACGGCGTGACGTGAGAGTATGTGTAGAT